CACCCCCCCCCCCCAGCACCAACAAAGAGAGATCAATGGAAAGCCTCACAATCACCATCAAAGGATAACTCTGAAACACACAGATTAACACCTCTTAAGGATGCATGATTGCAGCATGACACTGCAATACCTTCAGACTCCAATGGGACTTACATGTATAAGAAGGGGGGCTCTGGCCATTAAACTCTGGATTCAGTCCTACAAGCCACGCCTCAGAAGAATCCTGACTCCTGACTTGCTCAGTCAGCCTGGCCTGGCCAGTAAGACTGACTTGACCCATGATGGACTGGTAACTGTGCACCATCTGCAAGGCGCGCGCGTGTGTGTGTGTATTTATATAGGTGTGTCTTTGTAAAGCATATGTTAACTGCTTCTCTACTGTATTCTCAAATGCAGCATATTGCCTTTTCCCCTGAAAAAGATCCTGTGTGCTTCTTATAAGCATAACTGTATTCTATTGAATATATTTTTAAACTTTTATTTTACGTAGCAATGAATATTTAATACTGGACATTAATTTATGTATATTAAAAACATTGGTTTGATTAGTTAAAATTGAAATTAAGATGCTGTAAAGATTCAGACCAGGCTGCCTCAAATGCAGCAAGGTTCTCCTCCTCACAGCTTTGAGGTATAGTACCAAAGTGGGCAGTAATCATGTTAATCTTCATAATATCACATATTCACTAGTCTCTTCCCTGCTTTAATTAGTAGCTAATCTTTGACAACTGAGTTAGAATCCACTGGAATGAATGGGGTAGTTTCATACCCCAAAACTAGAGTTTCAGGCTCTCTGCTAGCTCAGGAAGTTATTACTTTGGCCACAGTATAAAATTTTACTTTGTAACCATAATAGATAGCAATTTTTTTAAAAGTAAAAACAGACTCTGAAGTGTGATTGACAGTTCTCAGAATGCTCCCATTCCCCAGTAATCCAGAGGGATGTATCCCACACTTTGAATAATATGGAGATATGTTCTTAATGCTACAATATTTGGGTTTCAAACTTTCAAGGAAAGTTTCAAAACAATTTTAAAAATTAACAAAACAATGGTAAGGTTTGTAAAGATCTTTTAAAAATAAGAGGAACATTCTGGGCCAAATGTGAGTTGACCCTGCCTCTTTTTATCACCAAATATGGCTAAAAAGCATTTTGAGCCTGTAACGAGTATTTGACAGAACACTAGAGGCTATTGCTATCTAAACAAAAGCTCATTTTTTAAATAATTATAAAATATTTAATTCAGTTCTGTCATGACAGAAGTAAAAGTGTGTCAACAGCAAATAATTAGAAGTCAATGGTTAAATATTTTCCTTTTAAGTTATTTATCATGCTATAAATGAATCAGCCCAAGCAATTAAAATGCAATTTTGTACTGCCAACTCATGCAACATTTTTCAGAGGTCTGTAGATATAATTATTAAAAGATTTTTCCATGAAGAGCAACTTTAAAAAAAGTTTGAGAGATACTGAACATCTCTATTCATTTAAATGATATAGCATTAACAGATGTTTCACTCACCAGTCAGCTATACATCCTGTTATCAAGTAGCCAAAGATTAATCCTACTAGTAGAGAGAATTTAGCAATATGGACTTTCCAGGAAGAGTCACAAACAAGATCCCACTGAAAGAAGAAAAGAGACAAGGTACATTGAAACATACTTAGTTCTTCTCTGGTGCATTTAAACATAATGTTGTTTTGTTGTAGGTGTTCTTTTCAATTTTAGCATTCACACTTCATGTTCTTACTTCATCGTTCAAGTCCAAATCCACCTAATGTTACTGGGAGTGAAAAGTCTCCTTTGCTTCAATGAGTTGGATCAGGTGCTTAGTTATACACTAATAAGTTTGGTCATTTAATCTTTGTTCTCAAGTTAATTTGGATTAATAAAAATGAGCATCTAGCCAAATATTCTGGGCAGTCTTGAAGTAACTTAAAATATCTCCAAATATCACCCCCACAAGTCTAAAGTGCAGGAGTAGAATTCTGCATATACCCCACGACCAGTAAGTCAGGCAATTTCAAATCCCTCATTTCCCCAATGTCCTGTTTTCAAATGCCTGGGAAGATGTGTCTGTAACAGGCTCCAGAGTCACCACGTTCAGGATACTTCATATCAATTGATGGAAAGTTTTTTGCAACACAATGCAGTGTCCCCCATAGGGTTGCCAGATGGTTGAAACAAAAATACCTAACCCCCGCCTCCCCCAAAAAAAACCCGGGAAAAATTTTTGTTGGGGGGGGGGGGGAGGGATGGGAGGGAGAAGAGACCAAAGTTTTTGAGGGGAAAAAAAAGCCTCCAAATAAGCCAAAAAAAATTAAAATAAAACAGCATTAAAACATCATGTCCCCTTTAAGAGTTAGTGCTCAGAGTTAATATCTCAGGTGTCCAGTATTCTCTGAATTTTTTTTACCGGACAGGAGCTGAACATACCAGATTGATGGGTAAATACCGGACACCTGGCAACCCTAGTCCCCCAAGAGTACTCTACCTTCTCTAAAGTAAGATGGGCTGATGGTGTAAGAGCAGGCTGTTTTCCTTACGAAAGTTCAAGTTTTATTGGCACATTAGAGATAAGAGCAGTAGGAGAATCAAGTGTGTAACTTTTTGTTGGCCTGATTCAGCAATTTCCACAGTGCCCTTCTATGGTGAAGTGATAAGAGGAAAATGGAACTGGGCTCTAAAACAATTTCCATTGCTGAAACTGTAGTATTCAAAGGGATGTGTATAAATGAGTCACCTCCTCCCGGATGCCCCCCCTCAGACTTAGGGCAGCCAGGCATTGCCCACCCCCCTTCAATTTCTTTCTTGGTTCCAAGTGACTTACACACAAACATGTCCTCAAGTCCATTACAGTTTACTAATAAAACAGTGCAAAATTCCATGACCAAAATTCCTACAACCTAGCCTATATCACCCGAGCACATGTGGTCTTCAAAACTCAGCTCCCTTCCCAACATCCTGATGTTTTCTGCCAGACCTGAATTCTTTCATAGTCCTCCTCTGTCCCTCAGCTGGGATCACCAGCCTAATCTTCCTTTTAAGGTACAACCTTGCTCTTTCCAGCTAAAACTCTGTGCCTCTCTCCTGGAAACCTCGCATGCTTCCTCTGGAATCTAGCTATCTGGCAAGGAGATGCCAGCAAATGTCCTTGGCTTTTCCTCTTCCTTCAGCCTTTGGCTCTGGATTTGTATCAGTAGGCACCTCCTTCTCATGTTCCTCCCATCTTCAGCCCTAACTCTCAGAAGAAAAAAAAAATCCACAAAAACGGCTCTAATTAAGGTAAAATAAAACAGCAGTATATCTCAGGTGTCCAGTATTCTCTGGTGGGTAAATACGTAAAATTTTTTTTAAAAAAAATCAGAAAATACCAGACACCTAAAATGTCCAGTATTTTCTGATTTTTTTTCCAGCCAGAAGGCAAAAATATCGGACACCTGGCAACCCTACGACACACTCAGCAACTGGGCCCAGTCCCCGGCCTTTGACACCCCCCCGCCCCTGGGCCCCCTGCTTACCTGGTTCCACAGGGAAGCTGCATTTTGGCTTGATCAATAAAACCAAATGGCCATTGGCAAAAAGCCTAAAGACCAAGGGGAAGCAATGCCTTCCCTGGGTCTTGGTGCTCAACTACTTCCCTGTTGCCTTCCCTATTCTGACACTGCAGACACTCTGAAAGGGGCCATGCTGTTTTTTTGGATTTTTTTGGCTCAACAACTTTGGTCTCCCTCCTCCCCCCCCCCCCCCAGAATGTTTTCCCTGGTGGAGTTTTTTTGGGGAGGGAGGGGGGAAGGGTGTTTGGTATTTTTGGTTAAACCATTTGGCAACCCTAGCTCTAATTTCCATTCATTTTCCCAACATAGGAACATTTTGGGGCAAGGGCATTCCTTACCTCACAGGAGTGTTACAAGAATAAATTCAAGGTTTATGAAGTGTTCAGATACTAGTGCAATGGGAGCCATATATATCTAGTTTCAACCCTAATGTGAAGCGTACATTGTAATTCATTTGCAAGGTAAGGGAGGTGTCCTACCAATCAACATCTTGCAGAACATGACTGCAAGGTCAAATGTACAGAATCAAACATGTCATTTGCTTTGTGATTACGTATTATGATCCAATATCCCAAGCCAATGTTAGATTAGAAAAATCTGGGGTTTGGGGGAGGGGGGAGTTTACAGGATTCATTAATCTCACAAAAAAGGGTTAGATTAAAACTCATTTGGTTCCAATAATGCATGAGACAGGCTCCCTACAAAATGGTGAGTGGAATATACCATGTGACAGAAAGCATAACAGCTGTTTGATCAGCACCATCTCTACAAGAGAGACATGATGTCAGCAGTACACCATCCAATTACATACAGAAATGGCTGGTCATGTAAAAATATATGGTCAGTACATCCTATAAGCTCTTTGCAGATGGATCCATCCCTCTGGAAACATCTGAATTCAGTCTTTCGAAGCCATTCCTATTTTCCTCTCCTATAGTGTGCTGTCACTGAAGCACACTCACACCTGTGGGAGACCTACCAGTGAGGCCATTTGCAAGCTATATGCTGCAAGTCTGAAGGCAGCAAAGGGCTTAATATCAAGAAGCTAATAGTAGGAGTAAATATTTCTCACCAAGTGTCTACAAACTACTTACTGTAATCAAGTGAGCAAGGCCAAATTTTAAAAGCCCTCCCTTTTTTTGGAGAGGGAGGGAAACGTTACTAATGCCATTTTGCACATACAAACGAGACTTCAAGATTTTAGGGCTACTAGATGCACGAAGAGACATATGACCTCCAGAAATATTTTCAAAATTACTTTGCTAATTGAGATTGCATAATGCCCAGCAATAGGATAAATCACTTTTGAAGAAGGCGCATTACAAATTGAGTTCAAGTAATGTCAAAATACTTATATTAAAACACTATTTTAAAATAATATAAAAGCCAGGTATTCAAGCCTGCCATTTTCATTTTGTTATGAGAGAAATGGTAATGTTATCCAAAATGAAAACAGCAGATACCGCAGTGCATTTTGATCTGTATTGCTAGTCAACAAAGATACCGGACCATAATGTAAACTGAACATAATGGACATTCGGAAAGATTACATAAGGGTGAGGGTTCAAGACTGTAAAGTGCTGAAGTGTCATTAGTTGTTCATTATAATACTTCAGGCGGAAATTAAGGAAATACGACAAATTCAGCTGCTCTATTACATGCCGCAATAACTCCTCCTCTTTAGAACCTTAAGCCTATCACCAGCCCCTAATGTACCCATCAGAATCCACCCTTTGTCTCTGAATTATCATTCAGAACCGAAGATTTCAAAAATTTAAAATTATGAGCCAGATCCTCAACTGATAAGTCATCATAGCCCACTGGCAACAGTTTACACCAAGAGAGTGTCTACCATAGAATACTCTAGCTGGGGAGTACTCAGCACCCTGCCCCTCCATTCCGGGTCCCACCCCCACTTCACTCCTTTCCCCAAGCCCTACCCCTGCTCAGTCTCTTCCCATCCCAGCCCCCATTCCACCCCCTTCCTGCAAGCTTTCAGCTACACCTCGCCCCTTCCCCAAGCACATCCCATCCTTGCTCCCCTCCTGCCCTTCTGGGGCTTCCTGAATGCTTTGAATTAGCTGTTTGTTCATGGTGCTCCGGAAGTGCTGGGAGGGCGGAGGAGAAGCTGGTCAGGCAAGCAGCAGCAGGCTGGATGGTAGAAGGGCGTTGCTTGGTTGCCAGTGGATACTCTGCACCAGGATATCTAATGTAAAACAATGCAGCATAGACTTCCTAGGTCTGAGATTGCTTGTAACAAGAATTCTAAGACCTGTGATCAGATCCATAACTCCCAATAAATTGTCTATCTAAAAATTATAGATGACCATTTAAAACGTCACCATTTTAAAACTATTTCACTGCTTACCATGTTAGCAGAAACTTGCAGCTTGTGGATCACAATCAAACTGCGTACTGCCCAAGTTTACCCAGGTTCCTCCATGACAACTTCTACAAACTTGAGCTAAATTATACTGAACTGTACAGAGATTATCTACAACTAGTATGTACACAGTGATGTAATAATTTTATAGGGCTATATAGCACCACTGACTTTTTTAGGCTGAACTCCTTTTTGGTTTTACTGTGGAGTTCCACATGAAAACTGATGGCATGCTCAATAGTATGCTCAAATAAAAGGCTGCTATATACATACAATGTTTTCTATTCTTTGCTCTCAAACAAGTTACAGAAATTAGCATTCTCTTTTTGTCACCCTGCTGCACAGAGAAATAGAAACAATAAGGAACTTGTCAGTTTTATTTCGAATCTGACATCGCCAGACTTTCATATTAGAAGTTTTTACTATATATAGACACACAAAGCATTCCAATTCAACCCAACTCATAAACCAAACATGGAAAAATTAAGCCCAAAACCTTCCAATAAAGCTATAAACATCTAAACAGGGAGCTGTAAGTAATAAAGAACATTTGTAATAGATATTGCTGCCATTCCATCTGTGCTATCACATATTCCACACACAAATGTACAAGTTACATACATGCACAATATAACAGAAGCTATTTAACAGCAATAACACTGTCACTACATAACAAATGTATTGG